ACCTTGGAGATGTTTGATCAACAGCTCAGGGGCGCACGTTCCTTCGTCCATCGCAGACTTTTGATAATCTTCCAGTTCAAGAAGGAAATGATACAGAAAGTCTCACCCCATCTGATGAAACGCGAGAGGAGAAGTCTACGGATTGAGAACTTAGCATTACCGAAGGAGACATTTTGGGATTCGTATAGCACGATTGATGGGGGAAATTAGAAGGATATGCAGTTTGCAAAGTGGTGGTGATTCTGGCTGGTTCACGGCGGGCATTATTGAAGGCAAAAACCTGCAGTTATTACTGTAGTTATTTAGTTAGACACAATTGTTTTAACAGAGCAAAGAAAGAATCCTTGCATCAAAATTGTCATTTCATTTCAGAACATAACACTTTACTCTAACAGAACACCCTCTCTGTTATCTTGCGCCATCTGGCAATCGCATTCCATGTCAGCTGCAAAAGGAAGAATTATGTTCAGCAAGCGTTCGATACCACCTGTGTCCACATTTTACACAGGGATAAAAATGCTATTTCCTTCATCGGCACTCATCAAGTGTATTTCAGACCAAAGTGACCCCTTCCACATTGCATTTCTCACAGTCCATCCGAATCATCTGCGTGCTCTTGCGAAGCTAGAGGCTGAGCTGTGATCTCTTCCTGCGGAGGCTCGATGGAATATTGTCTCCACGGCTCTGGCTGAAAGTGGAGTCTGAATTCGCACCGTCACACACGAGTATCGACTGACGCTCAAACCGTGATTTCAGCAAACATGCCAGTCCACCCATGGTCCAAATTGAATTAACAGTAGAAAAGCCATGGTCATCATATTCATCATCACCATGACGGTCAAGTGGACGCTGGGTAAAGGATAAGGTTGAAAGTGACTAAAAGAACATGAGTGATTAAGCTCCCAGATCAGCTTGAATCATAGTGAACAGATGCTCAAAGGCAATATACCACATTGTGAAATATGGTCTGCCGTGGGCTGATATAACATCCGACCTAGATGGGCTCTTGCTCAAGAACGAGGCCCTGGGAATCCCATTCTATTCAGCACGATCCACTCGAATTTGGTGTATCTTTAGACTCCATTTGGGATCTAATAGTTCAGCTCTTTTGCCAGACCCCGCACTTCTTGAAATGGTCCCGGCAAGAAGGAAGATAAAGATTGAGAAGGAATGTCAATCAGACCGAGTGGGCGCTTCTTTATAGAATTATTGACCCGGCTCAGCTACTCGAGAATAGCACCGGCTTATTTAGATGATGAGGCATGCCATTGTTAGATGCTAACGAACAGAAAAGAAACGAACTTCTAATGGTGATGCATCAAACGAGGGATTCAATGGATAGATATCATTTTAGCAAACATTTAAGCTTCATTATGTATTTTTGAGGGTTCTAGGCGAATGCCACGAGGCAGCAACATCAACAGAGAGGCTGTCTGTCTTCTCTGGTCAACAAAAAAAGGGAGGAAAAAAAAAAGAAAAGAAAAGAAATTAAGAGAAAGACTGCTGTTTTCTGGAATCATATTTTCAATATGCATACCAAAGGCCTTTTGCGCTTCCGTTCCCGTCTTCTCTTAATTCGACCTTAACTGACCACCTCCCCCAGCTGATCCGGATGCATCCAGGAAGTGGATGCAAATACTAAACGTAAATATTCGCCTCGGCCGCTTGTCCGCGTCCTTCCAATGGAGCACCTCGGTGATCTGGAGTTTACGTAAAATAAGCGAAACCAACGAACTAGACGCCTCCTGGAAAAAGAGTTCGTGCAATGTCATTTCCCCAATGTGCAATGCCAAACGCCCAGATGGGTGCTGTTATTATTTCCCGGGCCGGACAATGTTGATTTTTCAGCGGCGGGATGATAACATAACGTCCTTGGTTTCTACTGGGCAACATGAGACAAGACGCCACGGGAAACATGGTCGCATCAGGATGCAAGGAACTATTATTACTGAACAATTTTGAAACAAAATACCATGGCGAAGTGTAACTGTAGTAGTTTCCCCGTCAAGTCACTGCGTCGAGTTCACGGTGGGGGGCGGAATAATGAATATGGAAGATGCAAATCCTTCAAGAAACACAGGCACCCATTGGCTAACGGGGCCTCCGAGCTATTTTTGAAATGATAACCTGTCTCCGATCCACCTCTTCCTCCTCATATGCCCGTATCATTTGAGTGAGATTTGGGTGGGGGCCTTGTAGGGCTGAAGAGGTTAACTACTGATTGGCTAACTTTATCTCAACAATGTGGGTTCAGCCAGTGGCGTTCTTTGGTAACTTCTGTAAGCTTATTTTGCTTTTAGGTTTACTGTCGAACGAGCCCGAGCGATGAGAAAGGATTGAAGAGGGAGGCTACTTTGGAATTCTGAGTTGGAGATTAGAGATGAAGATACGGCTGAGTAGATCCCAGCTTGCTCAAGCCTTTTTTTTTTTTTTTTTTTTTTTTTTTTTTTTAAAAAACACTCTGCTGTTTCCCTTCCAATAAGCTTCTTGCAGGATTATCGGAGTATTTAATACCTGACTCTGAGCTCAGGTCTCAGTGTTCGTCTTCAGCACGGTGTTCTAAGAGGTTAGAATGCTTTCTGGCTCCCCTCTGCCGTTTTCCCTCATTCTTAGTTCACAAGCATCTCAGTTCTCACATAGTGTTGATATGGCTAGGAACCTCTCTTCTCATTTTCTCAAAGTCCTTGACTTTTATTGCTCTGTTTTGATAAATCCTTTTCAGACGTAGTGCATGTTCCATCATAGTATGTTTTTTGAGACTCTCTTTGTAGTGGGTTACTGCTGTTGTTGGCATCTTATATCCTGGTCTCCTTTTCTTAAGAGTGACGAGAGATGCCTTCCGGAGGGACCAAGTCATCATGTTATATATGACTCTCCACCAGACTCTTTGAACCTTGTTTGTAGGCCTAGGAAACATTGTTGTGAAGGCGACTAGTTGGTTCAATCTTTGTGGTGAGGTAAGCTAAACCTCTACCTACACCCAGGTTGGACCAAATTCTCTTCCCTTTATTCCAAATTGCCTTCGCTGCTGTATGACTAAGTTAATTGCCATGCTCTCCTCATAAATGTAACTGCCTACGACTCCGTAACACGATAAATATGAAACGGAAAAAACAGCCAGTCGTGGAAACGAAAGAAGAGAAGAGAGCGGCCAAGTCCTGACTTTCATCAACCATCATTAGGAAAAGAATAGAATTCAGATCATTGCCCGTTTCTCCACACTCAGTATAGCATCAGTGAATACTTTTCAAAGTAAAACAGGCTCCCTACACAGTGTGCAATCTTGTCTCTTGTGAAAAGCATCTAGGTATCCTATATTGCTATAGATAACATCTGGAGAAAGAGAAATAACATAGAAAATCATTAAGACATTTCAAATTCGCACACTCACCTACGGCAAGATGTTGTGGGGACCGTATGTCAGCTGTTCATTGTTCAGCTTGCCTGCCTACTTGTTGTAATGGTATCCAGGGCTGGGGCACGACTCAGGGTACGCAATAATGTCAAATTTATACTGTGATGACATTTCACCCATTGTACCATCATTTGTGGATTTGAGAAGCTCAAGTTCTGTAGTCAATTGTTGGATGCGATCGTTGAGATGTTGAACTGCCTCTGCTTGTCGGGCATATGACTGTAACAGATCATGATATTTGCTACTGAGGTCGTGTAGTCTACTTTCAAGACTTTTGAGGTGTTGTTCCTTTCGTTCTCGGAATGCACGTTGAGAGGCTCGGTTTTGAGCACGACGTCTCTAGGCAATAATTAGCCAAAGATGAATGATTTTAGGACGTGGAATAAATTCGAAGTTAGCACGTACAAGATGCATGTTTGTTACATTCTCCCTTTCACGGCCATTGTTTCTTCTACTGCATATTCGGTCATGTTCATCGAGTGTTGTTGAACCAATATATTCTAAAGGAATTTTCCCGGCGATGGCATCCTGGTGTGGTGATGAACCGTCATCAAATGGAACTCTGCCATATGAACTCTCTATATTGGTGTACATTGTCGCTTTCATACCCTAGAAACCTTTATCAGCCAACCAGCTAATTCAAGACTTGAATCAGAATGGACTTACATTGGGAAATACAGGGCTGGAAGAATCTGAGGGACTCTCTGCTGGCTCTCCAAAAAAAGGAGGTGGTATTTCGGGGGAGTGAGGTGACAAAGACATGAACCTGTAATCCATTGATAAGGAATAGAGCAATGGCAACCCTTCACCAACGGAATATTGTAACAGCGTCGTTTCTTCGAACAAAATTCGAGTTCGAATCGTCGAAATAAATCAGTGATACGTGTCGTCAAATGCCGATAGATTAATAGCAACAACAAGGAAGGCCGCGCGATATAAGCAGATCTGCCCAAACTTTTTATTTAATTGCCAGAGATATGTAATGAACATATACATACCATTTTGAAGCCGAAAATATCACAGCCTATACGAACGGCCAGCCCCAGAGACTAAGTCTATATAGGATCCATTTTGCTGACCGCGTTTCAAGGATATTTTAGGGAATAGTGGCGGCAGTGACGTGCCGTTTCCTCAACAGCTACTATTTCCCATTCCTACCCTAGAAGACATCTACTTCAGCTATGTTGCGCCGAAGGAAAATAAAGGGAAGAAAGAATTTTATTACGCCAGCAGGTCTCAGTGGTCCCGAGTTCAGTGATTGATCTCAAGTCATAATGCATCCATGTACTTACTCACTTCCGCTGCATAACTTTAGTCATTGGTTTCTGCATATTATGCATTATTGATATGGGCTTATTGTAGTTAAACCCATCCTCCTCACTAGCATGATTTGTTTGTTAAGCTTTGGGGAAGGGTTAGTTAGGGCTTTTGAGGAGTACAAGGATATGTCTCGAGAAATTAATTTCACAACGTTTTCTGTTGGTCCACACCCTCTGTCAGCTCTCTGTAATGACAGCTCTGATCAAGTTGGATATATGACGTATCCGTTATTTAACCACTAGCTGATTCTGTTTCCCTCTTTCGATCTCGCTGGCCAACCCGGGATTTCTTACATGGCAGCAATAGTTAACTACGTCTCGCGGCCTGAATCATCACATGACCGATACTTTCGACTGAGCTATTCATGCGATTGTAAACAAACAGTTTGATGAACAAGCGGAGAGCGCAGATTTGAAATCATCATGATCAGGTCCAAATACACGTTTCGACCGAGAGCTGAAAGTGATGGCCCTAAAACGTTCTTCAAGTAAATGATCTCTATTCGGGGAAGAGAGTGAATGGCCACATTTCAGTATTCATGTTCAGGGAACTGGAATTCTGATTTGACTCCTGTCGGACTTATTATCGTTCCCTCCGCATTTCCTCAGGTCGTAACAATGAGCAGACGGCATTGGTTAAGTCCATATCTCTAATAGTTATACTGGACAGGCAACATGAGCAAAATGTTTTCATGACTGTTCTGCCTTCTGATTCCTGGGTTCAGCACATTCCATGGAAGGGTAATCGTTGATTCATGATTCGTGAGCATTAATTGATCTACTTCAAATTGCATTGAAGCAGACTCTGCTGCTGAAAACAGCTATTTTTCACCCCACTGCTGGTGGTTCTTTTCTCATGTCCGTAATAAGGAGATTCATTCCGCCGGAAAACCCTAGAATCATGACTTGGTTGTTACGGCAACCGCTCACAATTCCCCCAGCCAACTAATCAACTCACACCGACAAACCGATTGGATAGCACGAAGTCCAGATGTTTAATGTCACTTTACAATACAATAAGAAGATAGATTGAGGAGTACACGTGTACTATACATATCCAGTACAGGATAAGCTCAGAATGGCCAAATCCCTGAATGATTGTATTGTATAAACATCCTTCCGTCAGTCGTTCCTATTTAGGTATCAGAACCCGCGATTTAATTAGCCACTCCATGCAGCTTTTTGACGAGATGAACACGGAGCTAGGAGTTGCCCTGCATCATAGAGAAGCTTCTATTAATCAGATACGCCTGAAAGAATCCGATAGTGGAATAAGGAAAAGGCGAGAAATGATATGTCAATGACCAAATATCGAAGGTTTTGATGTACTGAGGAGATGCAATTGCATTCTTAGAGTTTAATCAACAATTTTGTCGAGGTGAATATACGGAAGTTTGCTGCACGTCTCCAAAGCGGGCAGAAAGGAGTTGCAAATCTTCAACCAGAGAAAGATCACAAAGGGCATGGGCAGTTTATTATTTCGACAAGTCTTTTTTGGAGTAAGGACCGTTATACGATCACCGACTGAGCCAAAAAGGTATTCAAACGTTAGAAACTATGGATCCCGTTTAATTCAAGGCCCTGAGTGATTGTTATTCTTGTCGTCGAGAAAGCGGCCTGGGATAGTTCAGTATTGTGATACTAGCTTAGGCTAGAATCCTTGAGTGTATTTGATTCTCCTTCGACGGGAGAAATTCATTAATCGAATGGTAAATAAAGGCCAATTCAATGCGGGCAACCATAAGATATATGTAGAGACATGTACGTGTACATATATACCAGGATCGCGCCTTTGAATATCTTTTGCTAATGGGAGTAGAATGGAAGGGGAGTTTCTGGAGATTTTTGGGCTGTCGATCTCTCCTTTGACTCTGTGTTAGATTGTTTTAAGGATAATGTGACATCTTGGTCTGTGAATAGCTTAGCGTATCATAAACATCCAGGAAAGAAACTGAAAATCAAATGCTGCTTTTAACAGAACTGTTGGCATCAACTAGATCACCAGAGTGTTGTAGCTATCAATCGTTGCTGTTGCCTGTGAACAGCACTGGGTTGCACGATGCTTCAGATTTATGCCTGACCATGCGATAATGTTGTTCTGTTCTGAAATCGTTAAATGAGGATATCAACAAGTTGCTCTCTAGAAAGGTAAGGCCGCAAGCGATATCTTCGAAAAAGTAGAGGCAAGAGAGGGATTCATATCGGCAACTCCACAGAATTCCTTTTCATTTGAGCTACACACGGCTCCTCTATCAAAAGAGGATTTATCAATTTCAAGCTCCAGCATAGGCCATCATATATCCATTCAAACAATTTTCCAGTCGTAAAGGTACACTTAAGTGCGCGCAAAGATACGAAGCAGCTCTATCCGCATACTGTGGTGAGTCATTGATCCACGAATTCTCTTCCCTTAATTTCTAACTTGGTAGAAGGGTTTGAAACTAGCTCACTGCCTGAACCTTACCAAAGGTCAGGAGGTGATGTGAGGCCCAGTTCTCTGTTTTAAGGGAAGTAGTTTCTGTAGCCCCGAGCGACAACCCTCACTAGATGGAAGTCCCAGTTAATTAAAAGTTGACTGTCAATTCAACAGTCTCACTCTAGTTCAAGAAAGCAAGATTCTCATAATCTGTGTTCGGGTGGCAGAGTACAGGTTTGAAGGAACCAGCAGGAAAAAAAACTTTTGCTTTCTATATACACCAGTTAGCGATATCGCTGAATTGAATGATGAAATGTTTATAGAAGCATACTCGCTCCAGTAAAACATGAACTCCTCACTTATCTTCAGGATTTTCCTTCTTCGGATGGGTGACAATGAGAAAGAATGAAGGAGCTTTTCAATCGTTCAGTGTGCTTGTCTCTGAGATCATGACCTATAAATTCAGCGCCACCTTCTTCTGTGAAAGAGGGAAATGGGTCTAGAAACGTATTTTGAGTAAAGCCATAATGAAGAAGCGATCAAAGATGTTCAAAAGCCACAATCCTTGAGATGAACGGTCGATTCTGTGGACTTTGATTCTCGATCGATTTGATAGAGTCGAGTTCCAATGAATATGTAGCTGCCACGAGCTAGATTCCAAACAGACTTTCCTTGCAAACATTCATATTACTGAACATTCGTGTAAGAAATTCGAAACGTTATCTTGAGGACTTGGGCGAATATCATGAATATGAATGCAAGGATACCAAGGCAAAACATGCCAGGAAGGGTAGCATACAAGGGAGAGATGCAAACTCATCATAGAACGTTCCAGAATACCTTCTAAATGACTAAATCTGATGTCCTAAAAGTCTTTTACATCGAGAATGACATCTATGGAAGATGGTAGCTGACCATGTATGTAAGAAAATAGCGTTAAAAGAGTCCGAGGAAACGTATTAGTTACATAAATGGAACCGAGAAGAAGAACCTGCATCGCCATAAACTCCCTTAGAATAGTATGGCCATATATGCCACCACCGCAAAATATCAATAATAGCCATTTAGAACGCAACAGCAGAGAAGTAGTGAGGCCTCAAAAGACATGAGGGGAAAAGTGGCGGAGGCGGGTTAGGAGAGGATCAATGACGGAATGCGTAATTTTTGAGAATGATATTTGCCCCGTGATCTTCCCCCAGACACAGAACCGAGCTAGCAATGCACGTGGAAGCCCACATACGAATAACTATGGGAGGAGCGCTAAGCAATCTGCATACGCTGGTCACGTGTCGGGCGGCCGTTCAGCACAACGGCTCATCCGTGCAGTGCGATAGCAGCATGCTGACTCATTTCTGTGTATGTTGCCAGGGAAGCTTTAAAAACAAAGAAAACTCACGACAAGACATGACGAAGTGGGAGATACAGCCCCTTTGCCTCTATCTCAAGGCCGATCTGCGTTATGCTCAATTGGCAGATGAAAGGTGTAAGGAGTATTTGTTAACAAATGAGCGAAAATGTGACCGGAGCAGAGGCGTGTTTGTTTGCATGCATTTCTGCAGGGGTGAGGAAGTCTCTGATTTTGTTGGGGATGATGCAGAGAGAAGGTATGTTGAATCACTAGTGAGTTTAGAAAAGTTCCCTTCTCATAATGTTGTCATGTTGTCAATCATGAGAGGATATTCAAAGGGATTGACTCACGCGGGTTTACCATAGTTCAATCCAACCACCAAGGCATTTATTTAATTCAAAATTTCCCCAACTGCCTAACTCATCCACTTTAAGGTATGGGAATCCACCAATACACAGTAAAAATACGAAAAACTCTATAAAGATTGAGGAAAAATTTTAACTTATAATATATACTATTTAAATAAAAATAAAATTTTTTATAATAATTTATATTCTTTATATATTACTTAATAAAAACATAGTTTATAAAAGTTTTTATATAAAAATTTATATATATTAATTGAGAATTAAAAAAATAATTAGTTTAATAAATTAAAAATTTAAAATAAGCTTTTTTAAATTAATATTTATTA